TTCGGAAAGTTTCACGGTAATGTTTACAAATTAACCTTTTAAAAATACGAGTGAATTTTTATTTCTGTCGTTGCCGAAAAATTTTTTCATGCGTGTAATACTAGTACATGTATCTTGGACGCTTGGATGCTATCTTCACCTTTGACCACATTGTTGGAAGCAGCGTCGGCCATTTTCATTCTGTCTTTCGAGCTGTTTTTTCCGACAAATTTCAACCGTTTTAACATTTTACGGCCTCAGAAACTCATATAACGACGAAAACAAGTTGTAGTTGTTATTTTCATGCGTAAAATTTCTTCTGGGGATGGATTATTTTCCCGCCGAGCCGCCGAAAACTTAGCGTCGCATGCGGTCGGTCGGGCGGCCGGCAGGATTTTGTATCGCCTCTCGGCGCGCTTTGCATGTAAACAAGGACAGTCGGAGTTGTTTACATGAAAATTGTGTTGTGAAACGCCAGCGAGGTGTCTGATTTTCTACCAATGAGAACGTTTTCTTTGTGGCGTCATGGCGAGATCGACAATTCATCGACAATTCACAAGATTGTGCCGACAATGGGGCCCGATCCATGCGATTAGCGGCTCGATCCACGCAAATTATAGGTGGCGCGCTGCGCCACCTGAGTGTAGGAATAAGTGGCGCCAAGCAAAATCAGGTGGCGCCGCGCCAGTGCGCCACCGGGTATTCGAGCCCTGTGTAACCCAATCACTTAGCAATTAGCAGTAACATGTGTAATTCTTTTGTGCAGCAAATCTATCAAATGGGGGGAAGCTTCACTATCAAACCAGCCAGTATGAATAAAAGCACAAATATGTCAGTGCATAAGGTTTCCTTTCCAAAGTAGGCTAGACTGACAGTAGGCACTGATAGGAATATTTTTTGCCAGTGTTAGCAATATTGCAGAATGTCAAAATTTTGTTCTGCAATTCAGAAATACACAAGCCTCCATACTACAACCATCGCAACCTAATAATGCCTATATTTTTAGATCACTGGTACATCATAATGTAAAATATATAGTAAGGATGCATATCTAAACTCATTTTCAGGTTCAAGGTTTGAGATTTGGGTTTTGCAGCTATATCCAAGGAGGCCGACACCACAGGGCCCCTAGTCTGATTTTTTTCAGTCTGCAAAGTTGCAGGTTGCTTAATTTTTTCTGCAATATAATATTGAAAATGTCTGTGCAAAATACAGACTGCAGATGGGTATTTCTAACACTGCAAAAAACACGTCAATGAATTATCATTAAGGTTCCCTTCCCAAACTAGACAAGACTAATATACAGAAGGGCATCAGTTTTAAATCTTGCCCAGAAAAAAAGATCTGTCCGCTAGGTTACAGTTATAGATCCAGGCAGGAGATTACAGCAAATGGTCTGGTCCAAACAGTCTGGCCAAATCCTAATGGCACACAAAAGGCCACCATGGACTTTGATTCTCCACTCATGGAAACTGAACAATGGAGGATTTCCCAATTCCCAATAATTTTCAGCTGACTAACATGCCTGGGAAGACCAGGACCTTCATACAAATAATCGGTACTGAAACACTGGATGTGTGAAAGTGCAGAAATATTTCTTTCGCTGCTTGATTTTTAAAAGAAATTGCAAAACAATTTAATTATCTACATCTACATTTCTGTTACACATGGGCTTTAAAATTTTAATCCGCCTGTAATCTTTTTCACTTCTACTATTACAAAGTAATACATTAGCATACATCCAAACAAATTAAGAGAATGAATGAAAGAAACTCAGTCTTGGAAATAAGCAGTTCCCCAACACTGACAGACAAGAGTAAGCTGTATCTGTTTACCATCAATAATAATTGAGGATGCTCCCAAATTTATTTACCAATTCTATCCTTGTACTGTGTACTTTTAATTTGTAGTGCCTGTAGGGCACACATACATGTGTCATCTGATAAAACATGATCGTCCTTTCTCAAAAATCCATATCCCGGCACACTGCTCCAGGCTAGATTCATCCTCATAGATTTCTACCTTGTGTGCGTACGTGATCCTAATTCAAATTTTCACGGTGCAATTTACTGAAAACAAAAACTACTGTTCTTCAATTACTTCCCACAACATTGTGAAAAAACCGACACAATTTGTAACATTGTACTTCCTAATGGTAATATATTAATTATCTCCTGAATTTTCTGTTGAGGTTTTTGTTGTAAGGGGCTGTTTGCAACGGGACTAGAATATTCATGGCACCGCGTTCAAGCTTCATAGGTAATATACCAATCCATCTATCACTTCTAACATGCAGTCCACGAAATTGGGAGAACATCCATGATGATAAGCACCTTAGCAGTAAGACAACGAGAATACGGGTAGAATAAAATATTAGCTACCTTGTTCTCATCTATATAATCTTCTCTAATTATGGCTAAGATTTTTATGAATTTCCATTAAGCAGCTACTCTCTTCTTCATCAAGCCCAGGGATGAAAAAAAAGGAATTTTATAATGCTTTTAATAAAACTGAGAAGGAATCAAATCTGAGATGATCTGCATACATTAATTTAAGTGTGACCCAGCTGTACCAATATCAGGGCTCGAAATACCAAAAACCATTGATATACGTCATACATGGTTACACTTACAGTCAATGCAGAAAATATAAATGTACATATAGCTCCAAACCTGGGCCAGGTTAGGTACAGGTAGACAAAACCTGCACATTCCCAATTTTACCTGCACTAAGGTGCACATGCATCCAGTATTTTGAGCCCTGAATTATATGCATGTCATAACACATCATACTGACTATCTACAGTTAAGTGGGTACATGGAAATGCTGTTAATGCATTTTTCTAGCTGACGTGAAGGGACATTCATTATCAAAAAATCTGGGATCAGAAAGGCCAATATGAATATGATTAATGTCCTTTTACCCCAGAGTCCCAGACTGCCTTCAGAAATTTGACCTGTCTAGTATCCAAGGCTTGAAGCTACGCAAGTGCACTGGAGTCCAGATGATGTTCATTGTAACCTTCAGATTTAGCATTATGTATGCATGACCAGTGGCTATTTCCACTGAAGTATCTCTATTGATGGCTTACGGGTGCATTTTCAATTCTGGGTGGTAGCGTTTGATTTCGAAAAATACTAGTGTGATCACTTTTGTTAGAACTCTATAAGCGGCAAGAAATTGTCATTCTAATAATTACCTATTAATGATTACCATCCAAAATTTTGAAAGGATAGCAAGCTATACTGTTCAAGAACCAAGCTTAGCTGTATAATGTAGATGAAATGTCAATGAAACATGTAATTGTGCAAAGGCACATACAAGTGAACAGTCAATATATATAGTAATTTGTTACTAGAGACATTTTAAATGCCATGCAGAGGTAATTTCCAGACAGAGGTAA